GTACTGCAAAGAAAATTCTTGGAATGGAGATTCACATGGATAGAGGCTCAAGAAAACTGTGGTTATCTTATCAAGGCTATGTTGAGAAAGTGTTAGACAGGTTTGGGATGAGCAATGCAAAGCTAGTAAGCACTCCATTGGCAAATCATTTTAAGCTTTCTCCTGAACTGTATCCTAAGACAAATAAGGAAGTTATAGACATGGAAAAGGTTTCATATGACAGTGATGTTGGTTGGTTGATGTATTCAATGGTATGTACTTTCCATGATTTAGCTCATGTTGTTAGTAAAGTTTCTAAATACATGTCTAAACCAGCTAGGTTACATTGGGAAGCAATCAAGTGGATTTTCATGTATTTGAAGGGCACTGTAGGGAATGAAATTATTTTTGGTAATCAGTAGGATAATCCTTTGATTATAGGATATGTGGATTTAGACTATGCATGTGATTTGGACGATAGAAGATCTATAACTGGGTATGTTTTTACTCTTGGTGGAGGGTCTATATGTTGGAAGTTAATTGTTCAGTCTATTGTGGCATTATCTACAACTAAAGCTGAATATATGGCAGCAGCTGAAGTTGCAAAAGAAGCTTTATGGCTTGCTAGGCTAGTGAAGGAATTGGGTGTTTAGTAAAGTGGAGTTCAGTTGTATTGTGACAACCAAAGTGATATTTATTTGGCTAAGAATCATGTTTATCATGCTAGAACTAAGCATATTGATGTGAGGTTTCACAAGATTAGAGAGTTGATTGCATCTTAAGAGATATTGTTACAGAAGGTTCATACTACTGAGAATGCAACTGATATGTTGACCAAGCCAGTTACCACTGACAAGTTTATGCATTGCTTGGACTTGTTGAATGTTTACAGTTGCTAGAGAAGCATGGTTGCCCAACCCACTTTGATGTTTGATAAACTCCCAGTTTTCTATTTCATCTCCTAAGGGGTATGATATTCGCCAAGATGGCGATTTGTTAGGTATGACTCATATACCAGTTGGAGGATAGATGCTGGAGCAAAGTGATCAGCATATGTCCATTGGGGAAGTTTCGTTATAGTCTGTGGGCTAGGATTAAGTGGGTCGGAGGTGCGGGGGCGAGGCCCCTGTGGTACGGTACATAGTTGTTTTGGTAATTGTATCGAGGTTGCTTTTATATTATGTAATTGAAACTTAATTGTTATCATTATTTCTAATTAATAGAAAACAGCTGCTCATCGCTCCCGATTACGTAGGCACCTTGTCGAACCTTGTTAAATCTTGTGTTCTTTTTTTCTTTACTCTTCGTTTATTTCCTGTGTTACTTAGCCTGATTTCCCAACAAAATCTGATTGATAGGGAGTGGTTAGTGCAGTTCAAGTTTACTCCTCGGGAAAATAAAATGGTTGCGCATGTGTTGGCTCATATGGCTTGGTCTCAACCTCATATTTTCCAGGTTGTTCCTGCAGTGGAGAAGGATCTTCCCTGCTAAGAGCTCACCACCTTAGTTTTCTGATTTCTCTCATTTGTATTAACGAAAAGATTTTAAATAAGTATTATATTATAATCGCTCTAAATTATTAAAAATTTGTTATATTTTTTCTCTTTCTTTATTGCACTCCATTTTTTTAATTTTAAAAAAGTTTTTATTAAATTTGATGGTCGATATAATATAAATATATTTAATATTTGGGTAAAGTACTCAAATAATCCCTCGATTATAGGGTACTACTTTATTAAGTCATTTTCCTATTAAAAGTTACAAAATAGTTTTCTGACTACCTAGTGTTGTTTTGTTGAGTCCCTTGACTATTGCAAGTTACAAAATGGTCACCTGACTATTTATTATATTCCAAACTAGTTCTTTTTCGTTAAAAAATTGACGGTATACTAAGCTAAAAACCTCCTGACTATAATATAATAAAATATGATCTCAAAATCTCAAACAACTATATATTTCAGTCACCATGTTAACATTCAGCTTAGACAACCGCCAATTTTTAACAAAAAATGACGAATTTGAAACATAATGAATAGTCGAGTGACCATTTTATAACTTTTAATAATTGAATGACTTAGCAAAGCAACATTCTATAATCGTAGGACCATTTTATAACTTTTAATACTCAATGAACTTAATAAAGCAATATCATATAATTAAAGGCCTATTTGTGAACTTACCCTTAAAATTTTAAAATATTTTTATATTCAAATAATTTTCGGAGATACTCGAACAAGTTAAATGCTTGCCCACATTCAACAAAGCCTAATAAAAGCAATTAATGTCAGTTCCACGTTCAATAAATGCTTGCCCACATTCAATAAAAATCCTAATAAAAGCAAAATTTAACTCGGTCTAAAAAACTTTTTTTTTTTTTTGAATTGTAGGTAAGTCAAAACATAAAGTTTACATCAAGAGGTGTTTGTCATAATCTAAAGATTGCAGTAAATGCGTGGGAGGCACATCGAAGGTCTGTAAAGCATAATGGCTGTCAAGTTTAGCCAATTTATCCGCAGGATTACATTCTCGATCAATCCAAGTTATGTCGATAGCCCAGCTTCTGTGGCGAAATCTTTCAATTGCTCGAACCAGGGAGTTGGAGCTTGATGCAGCTTTATGATCATGGAGGAAACGAACAGCTTCTTTACTGTCAGTTTGGATCAACAGCTTCTCAAAACCATAGTCCCAAGCTATTTGTATGCCAATTAAAATTGCCCATAATTCACATTGTAGAGGATTGGTGATGCCGATCTTTTTGTTGAACCCCGAAATCCATGATCCCTCATTGTCTTTGAAAAGGCCGCCAATGGAACCAGTAGCTTTACCTGAAGAAACAGCTCCATCCGTATTCAAACATATCCAGCTCCCAGGCGGAGGATGCCAATGGATAGGAACAGCGATGGAGTTTCTGATATGGACATTAGTGCAGGAACTCTCAGAATAGTATCTTGCCCAAGTAATACTTCTAGTAGCGATAGAGACAGCCAAAGAATCGAGTCGATTAAAGGTATGTCATTTCAATTTTTCCATAATTGCCAGGGAGTTGAGGCGAAAACTACAGGCCAAGATGCTGCGTATATGAAGATAAGTGATTTTCAAGTTGGAGAGCATCCAATCTTCAAGTCTTGTACGGAAGAAGAGATGAAAGTCGGAGTTGGGGAGAATCTCCCCAAACAGCTTGGGCATACCTGCAATCCCTTAAGGCGTGGGTGGTAGTTTCCACAGCTTCGAGACAGCAAGGGCAGTGGGGTTGAAGAGCAATGGATCGACGGTAGCGTTCAACATTTGTCATTATCCTTTCTTTAGAGGCGAGCCAAAGAAATAAGCGGATACGTTGGGGTACTATTAAGCATTGCAGTAGGCAAAGCTTGAAACAAACAGAATACCAAAAATATATTTCATTAAGCGTGTGTTATACATCACCTAGCCTTAGCTTCTTATAGCAGGTTCATAACAAACTTTAACAAACTACTGCTTCTAGAATAGTTTCCTAACAACCTTGACACGTATGCAAACTATATGCATTAGTTACAATCCAGCTCCCATGTATGTCATGCATGAGCTACTAGACCACGTGGATAGCACCCTCAGCTTCCTTATGTATCTCAACATTCTCCCCACTACTTCTTCTTCCCTTCCTTAAACACACTATTAAAGCAAGCTCTAAAAAAAACTAATTACAACTAATTTTTAATATTCAACTTTCTTGATGAAAAGATAAACATTTGAATCGAAAGTGCTGATGCTTACTTCCGTTCACTTGAATCGAAAGTGTCGATGCTTCCTTTCGTTCTTCTTGAATCGAAAGTGCCCATGCTTCCTTCCGTTCACTTGAATCGAAAGTGCCCATGCTTCCTTCCGTTCACTTGAATCGAAAGTGTCCATGCTTCCTTCCGTTCACTTGAATCGAAAGTGCCCATGCTTCATTTCGTTCTTCTTATTCACCTTCATCTCTTTCTTCTTCATCTCTTATACGAGCAATCAACAACTTTAAAAGTCTCTTGTAACATGTAATTAGAAACATCTGCAGCTAAATCCCCAAAGAAGATTGTGTATTCAGGACCCTCTTCTTGCCTCTTTTCTCCATATCCGAGTGCAGTCCAATTCATCCTAAAATTTTGCTCAGCACTTGGCATCGGTAACCCATTATACGACTGCAAACCCTCTCAGCTGCTGCATGTGTCACAAACTCGATAAATTCGTATTCCTCTGGCAGAGCCGTTTGCTTATTATTAATCACCTTAGTTGAAACCACCTCTCCTGTTTGAGAGAAGATGTTGATGAGGTAATTCTCATTCATCCATGGCTGAAGATCTCCGATCCAGAGATACCGAATTTCGCCGGATCCGGTAGCTGGGGAACCGGCTGTGTACTGTTGAATCTGAGAGGGCGAAGGGACCTGTTGTGGATTCCAACCCGCAGGTGGAGGAACCGGCTGACCGGGCTGCTGTTGTTGAGGCATCATCATCCGCGACTACGACTGCGGTTGTTGCTGGTACTGCTAAGTTTGAGATGGATCGTTTGTCATGGAAGGCGGTGGTTCTACGGATGCCGGCTACAACGGAGGAGGAGGACGACGAACTTCATGCAGCGGACGAAAAATGAAATCAGGACCGTTTGGCGAATGATACCATATTAAGCATTGCAGTAGGCAAAGCTTGAAACAAACAGAATACCAAAAAATATATTTCATTAAGCGTGTGTTATACATCACCTAGCCTTAGCTTCTTATAGCAGGTTCATAACAAACTTTAACAAACTATTGCTTCTAGAATAGTTTCTTAACAACCTTGACACGTATGCAAACTATATGCATTAGTTACAATCCATCTCCCATGTATGCCATGCATGAGCTACTAGACCACGTGGATAGCACCCTCAGCTTCCTTATGCATCTCAACAGTTACATTCAACTTCCAAATCACATTCCATATAGATTGCTTTCGATCCCAAAGTTGTGCAGTCCGAAACGAATAAGCAGAACTAATCTGAAAAGAGAAATTAGAACTCCACCGCCAGATCTACTTGTCAGGACCATCATTTCGATCGGGGCATTTGATTCCAAGAATACGAGGAATGCTATCAGGAGTGAAATAGACAGAGTTTGTGTAGATCCCAGTTACCAGTATTATCCATGAGGTCCGAGAAGGAAATATCACGAGGGGGTCTGATGAATTAGCCAAAGGAGGGCGTAAGGGTCCCAAAGATGGAATCCAAATATGATCAAGCGGCTGAATTGAGTGGTGATCTCCAAGAGACCATGCCAAACTTGCTTTTAAATCTTTCCAAGTAGTCGAAATAGCCCTCCACAGAGGGGTACAAGTAGTTCGATACACAGAGTCGGGGCAAATTTCATAAATCTTGTATTTTTGGCGAAGTAGGCGGACCCAAAGTGCAGAGGTATCAATGTCCAAGGAGAAAGCAATTTTGAGAATGAAGGCTAAATTAAAATAAGAGATTCTCCGAATCCCAAGACCTCCATGATCCATAGGTTGGCAAATGTTTTCCCAGTTGATAAGAGAAATCTTTGGTGCTCCAGTTGTTGAACCCCATATGAATTGCCTGAGGATTTTTACGATCTCATTACAAACAGACTTAGGCAACAAGGTGGTTTGCATTAAATAAACTGGGATTGCTGAAAGGACAGACTTTGCCAGAGTCGAATGACCCGCCATTGAGAGGGTTCTAGCTGCCCATCCTTGAAGGCGACTACGAATTTTGTCAATGATAAAGCCGAAATCTGAGCACTTAGCTCGGCTATGCGAAATGGGCACAACCAAATATTTGCCTAAAGATTCAACTTGCTGGAAACCAAGAAGGAGCTAATCTCTTCTTTGACAGAATTATCAATGTTTGGTGAGAACCAAATTTATGTCTTCCGTTTGTTAACTCGATGCCCTGAAAATTGACAAAAAATGTCCAGAATATTCTGAATTGCTTGAGCTTGCATTAAATCGTCTTTCGCATAGAGATGAGGTCATCCGCAAAAAAAGAGGTGGGATAACGGGTCACCTCCATGGCTGAAGCAAAAAGGCTGCCAAGTATCGGTTGAGACGGCATGAGAGACGAGTCCCAGACGTTCCATGGCCAAAACAAATAAGTAGGGTGAGAGGGGGTCACCCTGTCTAACACCTCTAGTTGAAAAAAAATGTTGCGAAAGCTTTCCATTCCATTGGATTTGGAAGCTAGAAGAAGAGATACAACTCAATATGATACGTCTAATATTAGGAGTGAGACCCGCATCGCTAAGGGAGTCAGAGATGAAATTCCATTTGACTCTATCGAAGGCTTTCTCGAGGTCTACCTTGATAGCCATCCAATCATTCTTATTTTTGAACAATCTCATAGAATGAATTGCTTCCTGGTTTATGATGATATTTTCAGTTATGTTGCGCCCCACAAGACAGCTGGTTCGATGTTGGTCAATAAGGATAAAAACGTTAGGCTTTAATCGACGGACAATTAACTTTGTGATCAGCTTATACAGGACAGTGCAAAGACTGATAGGACTAAAATCTGTGAGAGATTCCAGCCTATCGCATTTAGGAATAAGAACCAGGATTGTTCTGTTCAGGGCAGGTTCTAAAGCATTGCCCCAGAAGATGTTTTGGATCATTGAAATAATCAAAGGCCCCACGGTAGACAATTGCTTCTGAAAAAATCGGCATGAAGACCATCCCAACCAGGAGATTTTAAGGGTGACATGCTTATGAGGGCTTGGTAAATTTCATCGGCTGAAGGGATGAGATCAAGAGTAGCAGTAAGATTCAGTGCCAGCGTGGGAAATATGCCACAGAGAGGGAAAGAACCCGAATCTTGGTCCGAATCTGTGAAGAGGTGTAGGAAGAAAACAACAGCTTCTTCTCTAAGAATTGATTCGTCATCGCACCATGTCCCATTTCGAAGTTTAAGAGAAGTGATATTGTTTTTTTGCGTGCGACAAATAGCTTTCCAGTGAAAATATCGAGTATTTCAATCTTGGTCTAAGAGATGCTCAAGCTCAATAATTAATTCTGATTCCAACTTAGACAAGAAGCGAGAAGTATGAGAGCTGAGGGCTTTTTGGATCCATCTAAGTCTTGCCATAACAATCAATTTTTTTGCTGCCCAGGTAGCCGAACACTGTCTTGTTCCAAGAGTCGGCGGCTTTGGTGAAGATACGAATGGTCTCAGTCATGGAAGAGTGGGGAATCCAACTATCTTTAACCATATTGGGAAAATCTTCATGCCGAAGCCAACCAGAGAAGTAACGAAAATTACTTTTATTAGAGGAGTGAGACTCCCGACCAACTTGGAGGAGAATGGGTCGATGATCAGACCACATACAAAGGAGGTGCTGAATCGAAGATTCGGGAAAAGACTCATCCCAATAGTTGTTGCAAATGAATCTATCAAGGCGAACAAAGGATGTTCCTCTAGACAAGTGTAATCCGGACCATTGAAACCCAAATCGCGGAGCCTATAGACAGAGCAGATTTTGGAAATCTTTGCTAGGCTTTGCCGATGAAGAACAACCTTTTCTATCATCAGGGCTGAGGGTAGCATTAAAATCGCCAAAGAGGATCCATGGAAAGCAAATAGAGGCAGCTAAACTTCGCAAGTAGGGCCAGAGAAGCTTCCTGCCAGCTGTTGAAGATTAGCATAAACAACTGTAGCTAGGAGAGAAGAGTTGCTTCTAATACCAGTAATGCAAAAGTGAACGAATTGGAAATGATTAGCAATAATATTAACAGAGATGGAGTCATACCAAGCGATCCAGATACCACCGGAAAAGCCATTTGCTTCAGTACAACGAGAATGAGGGAAATTTAAAGCAGAGATAACCGTATCACCTCGAAGACCGCTAATTCTTGGCTCAACAAAAACCACCAGATCAGGCTTATAGTCACGTAAATATTGTTTGGCTGCAGACAAGAAGCGGGGGTGACCACAGCCTTGAACGTTCCAACATAGAATCTTGAGATCCATAAAATAACGAAAATATAGGAGCATAAGAGCATGTTTATTAAACCATTGCCACGACACTATCACCAACCAAACTATGACGTATATACTCAACAGAATCATTAATATTCAAGACATGGCCATGAGAATTATCACCAACTAAAGCATGACGCATATTCTCAACAGAATCATTAATGCTCAAAACAAGACCATGAGAATTATGACCTTGCCACTTTAAATGATCGGGAGGATCACCCGTAGGCCCTTGGGATTTGTGAGAATCAGTTAAAGCAGGAGGCGTAGGGCTTGGAAAAAATATTCGGGCTCTAATGATCATTCATAAAAATAGCCAAGTGTCTCGATTTGTCCAAGCTAGAAGGTGGACGAGGCTGAGAGGCTGAACGAGAACTTGAAGGTCGCGAAGAGAGATCCTAAAGGGCGGGGAAATCAGAGAATTGGACAGTGGACGATTTCCGGTTTATTATAGCCTTAGGAACTTTGGTAGCCACTTTTGATTTTCTTTTGGATTTAGACTTGGGATTTAGTCGGGGAAGATCAACAATCGTTTGAGGGTGAACAGGAGCAGTGTAATACCCCAAACATCATGTCAGTGACTATATTGAAATGATTTAAAATTTGAAGGATTGAATTGAATAAATGGTAAAATATAAGAAATTATTTAGGAAATTGTGTTTAAGATCAATTAGTAAGAATAAAAGAATAAAGGGGTATTTTGGCCCTTTAGAGGGAATTGGATTTAAAATTTATTTTATTAGGAATATTTAAGAAGAGAAAAAGGGGGAAAAGTTGAGAAAAAGCTAAGTTATTTCTTCTCCTTCTCTCTCCTCCTTATCCTCCTTCTTCTTGTCCCGTGCTCTCCCCCATAGCCAAAGGTAAGATTTCTTCAAGTTGGTTTTTACTTTAGTTTATAGGTTGGTTGTGAAACCTTAAGTTATATAGAGGCTTAAGGAAAGTTCAAGGGTGATTAAAACTAAGTGATTAGTGAATTATTTGAGATTGAAGAAAATGAGTTTTTGAGTGATATGATGAAATATGAGTTTTTATTGAGGTTTACAAGTAAATTTGACTTGTCAAAGAAGTAAATGAGAGATTAGAAGTCTTGGATGTGATAAAACATGTATGAAAAATTAGTGTGATTATTGGATTGTAGTGTTCTTTGAAGATTTTAGTTGTTATAGGAAGATTAATGAAGGAAAGTTAGTTGGGTTTAGTAAGGATGAGTTTAATGGTATTATTGGAGGTAAAAGTAAGAGAATTAAACGAAATTTAGGTAAAAAGCAAAATGAAAAATGGAAAATCTGGGTAAGGGTATCGGTACTCGAAGAACAGTATCAATATTATAGGTTTAAATTTGAGGAAATAAGATGAACAATATATACTGATGCAATTAGTATCGATACTGTTGTGGGTATCGATACTAAGAGGAAGATATCGATACTATGGATTCCATAATGCATAAATGATATCGATACCATAGTAGGGGTACCGATACTATTGAGCCTGGAATTTTTAGATAGGATGAATTTTAATAGAAATTGAAAATAATAGTACTTTTGAGTATTATTAAAAAAATAAATGTTAGAAAGTATACTAATATTTGTATGGTATGTGTAATTATTGGATGCTTGTATAGATCGTAACCAAGCTTCAGAGTCAAGCAAGAAAAAGGGCAATGATAAAGTTGTCGAATAGTCGGACATCATTACAGCAGACTAGAGAGGCATATCAGGTGAGTGCATTTATTGTTCTTCTATGAAATAAGGGAGACTTGCGATGAGTCAACCTCTA